CCCCAAAACCCCAAAACCCCAAAACCCCAAAACCCCAAAAGGAAACAATTATATTGAAATCCTGTAGCCATTTTATCTGAAAGAGATTCAATTTATTTCGATGTTTGTGTGGCTAGGTTTTGTGTTATATGAGGTTATCCTGGGTGTCACTGGATGTGAAGCATTACTAGTTAATACTTTTGGGCGGGAAGAGCGGGAGTCCGTTTGGTAGCGAGATTCTGTCCCCCTTTCTTTAAATGTAAGATAATTAGAAGAACTCCTATCGTCTTGGTGTCTTGCATAATATTGAACTTCTTCTAAATAATTTACAGATCTCCTAAATATTTCTTTCTTCATTATGAGCATATTTTTGAACGAGATGCCTTGATCCATTATCCATTAATACTTCTGCTTTTTCTCAATCAAGTCTTTGTCATGCAGAGATTCTACTTGTAGATGCATTTTGCTTCATTCCGCTCCAATGTGGACGCCCAATTCCTTCATGTATTCTTTTTCTTCCATATAATAATTCAGCAGAATTATCCTCAGTATTGCTTTTATAAAGATTTTTGTTATCTAAGTAGTCTCTATAGTGGTTTCCCTTAGCTTTGTACGGAGTAATTAAGCCTTTAAAAACTCCTCGTGGCTCACTTGCATCTGTTTGGTTAGGAGTTTCTTTCTGGGTAGTTCCTCAATCAGGAGTATGCTGTCTAATTCTACACTCAACTTGCATAAGATCTTCCAGCTCTTCTTCTGAATTTTCTATTTCTACCTCCACTTTCTTATGAAGGACTTTATCTAAATCTTTGAACATCTTATTCATATTCCTAATTCTCCTCTTCATCTTCTTATCTCGATGTTGAATTTTATTTTCACTGTCAGTGGTCACTATTCCCAATAACGTTTATCAGATGTTTTATTTCATTTTCTTGGTGATGAATTGATTCCTTCAAAATGGAGATATGTCTATCTCTCCTCTGAAGTTCTTCAGAGTAGCTTCAAGATAGAGCATCTTTCTCCTGTAGGCACTGTTTATTTACCTTAGCAACTTCTTGCTTGACAATTCTATTTACAAGATCAGGCTCCAAACTTTGATTAGCATTTCTTCTACTGGAATTTCGTTTAAAATCAGCTACAAGAGCCTTTAGCTTTTTGTTATCTCTTTTTAGTTTATCTATCTGTTTACTCTTGACTTTTCTGTCTTCAGAATAGAGGTTTACTATATCAAGAAGTTCTTTTTCAATGAGGCCACAGATTCTCTTTTGGTTCCCAGAATCACTTCTACCATAATCACTACTACTCTGGTGCGTGTACTTGGCCAATTGCTCAAAATTAGACTTGAAGTCTGTAAATTTAGCCTGAGCTTGCTCTAATGAATCTGAGTCTGGGTCGAGTCTGAAGTTATTCTCTAGTTCATCAATGTTATCCTCCATATTTGAATTTTTATTATGTTTGAACCCCCGGGGTTTTGGGGTTTTGGGGTTTTGGGGTTTTGGGG